CTTGTACAATAAAGTTGCTTTTGATGAATTGATAAAAAAATGTCAAGATTTATATAGGATTTTTAAATTAAATTATAACAAAATAAATAATTTTTCATTTTGGTGCAACAAACAAATTTAATTGACGAACTATATGTGAGTGAGTGAGTGAGTGAGTTGTACCAATCTGATAACTTTGCTTTTGTTCTATTACATAATTTTTTTTACAACGTATAAAGAAAAAAAGTTATAATAGCGAAGGTAGCTTTTTGGCCAAGTTTCAAAATTCAAAAGTTGAATTTAATTGTCATTTTAAATAATGATTTGTTAATAATGTAAATGATACAATTTTTGCACTTAAAGATTAATATTTATTATGTGGTCGATCTTTAATATAAAATTTCCCTATTCATGGATGGATTATCAATTAATTTTTTTTCTTTACAAAAAAAATGTCAATAATAATTTTACCTCTTGAGCTTTTGAATGAAATATTTAAATACAATAAAGACAATTATAAAACATTATATTCTTGCATTTTTGTCAATAAACAATGGCACAATATTAATATTCCAATTTTATGGAGAAATCCATGTTATTCTCTTAACAGCACTAAAATAATAATCAATTGTTTATTGGAAGAAGACAAGGATTTCTTAACTAGAAATGGTATTGAATTAACTTTTGACTTATTGGAGAAACCACCATTATATAATTATGCTCGATTTTGCACTAGACTTCACCTTAACAATGGTTATAGTTCTCAAATGTTGACAAAAACTTTTAGTTTAATTTTACAAATTAGATTAGTGAATTTTATTTTAGATCGTTCAGCAGTTATTAAAGAACTTTGTGCTGAGAGTATAAATTGGAATTGGATAAAAAATTGTCATAGAATTGATGATTGTTTTCAGAACCTGAATGGATTAACTTGTAATCGTTCTATTAGAAGTGAATTCATTTATAAATTAGCAAATACTTGCAAATCTATTCAATCATTAGAAATATATTATATGGGACACTGCAATACATTTGAAGATAGTCTAACTCAACTAATTAAAGCACAAAACCAAATAAAGAAATTTACCATTTTTACAGACACTAGTCATGCTTTTACAGATAATTTCAAAAATGCAATACTCTCACATTCACAATCAATAATTTATTATTCAAGCAATGGTGCATATGATATAGATAATATATTATTACCAACTCTATACAATTTAAAAATTTTATCATTAGCATTATTATGTGCTACTAATATCAAAATGAAATATTTGAAAAATCTTTCACTGCCAAATCTTGAATCTGTGACATTAAATATTTTCTATCAACCATTTCTATCAGACTTGTCTGATTCAATTAACATCAATGGAAAAAAACTTAAATATCTAAATCTCAGTGGTATTCCGGATGATCCTGAGGTTTCGGGAAAGCTATTTCAATCAATTGCACAATGTTGTAAAAATCTAGTAGATTTATCAATATTTTATAAAGATGGAATAAACCAGGAGTTAACGGAAATACTTAATAATTGTATTAAATTAGAAAGTATTGAATTTAAAGAATTTGGATCTATATCTCTGGAGATAATAGATGGTGATAAAATTTTAGCAGTTTTAAACCAAACATTACCAAAAAAATTAAAGTTGATAATTATTAATCATTGGATTTCTAATATTAGTGATGATTATCTTGATAACTTGATGAAGAATTGGAAAGGACCCAAACCTTTTACAATAAAATTTAGAAGATTTAGTGGTGCAAACAAATTGATAAAAAAATATCAAAATTTAGGATTTTTAAACTAAATTATATATTTATTATTATTATTATTATTATTATTATATAATGCAGATTGTCTACAATCAAAAGTTGCTTATAATAGCTGTTGGATGTTTATTAAATTTATTTTCTTTCTTGATATTAATAATTAAAAACAAAATGATTTGACATATTTTATTATAATAGTAACTAATTTTGAAATTTCCTTTATATGTCACAAAATTTTATAAATTGATTTTTATAATCATACATTAGTAGGTGCTTGACAAGGCTCAATTCCTTCGCCATATCAATAAAATGAAATCGCTGTTATAGATTTTTTTGACATTTTAGAAAAGTCATGCAACTGAATTTTAGTGTAACAAAAAAGTGAATAAAAAAGGATTTTATTTGAGGCTTAAAATTATGTCGCAAATTTTTTTATCTATTACTATCGCCCTAAATAACAAACAACAACAACAAATAATAATAGACTATGTTGAGCATGTAACTTTTTTAACTTGGAGAATATCGTTACAATGAGAATTTAGCACCAAAATCAATGGAAAGATAGCCTCCAGGAACAATTTCTACTTCAGAATGCCTTTGCACTGTTCTATAAATGAAAATATTTTTGTTAAATAAATTTCTTGATCTACAACGTACATTAAAAACAAAAAAAAATGAATGATAAATTAAAATGAACAGACCATTTTGAGATTTGTCCGTCTTTGTGGTTTTTATTATTATTATTATTACCGACGACATTGATTGGTCAATTAAACAACAATCAACAAAAAAACTGGAAATTTGTAACCAGGAAAAAAAAACCTGTCCTGTTATAAATATGAATATTTTACATTTTTGATTAAAAAAAAAAAAAAAATGCAATCGTCAATTCAAAAAGATAAAAAAACTCAAACACTAAATATAAAGCATGAATCGGAAGTTACATCACTTTTTTCAACATTTAGTAACGATTCTAGAAAATTATCACGACAACGACGAAGACAATCAAAATTAGAAAAAGATCAACAAGAACAACATAACGATCATTTAGAAGCCTCTTACATTGCCACCAGCCTCGATGGAAATTTTGTTGCTACTTTTAATTCTGGTGAAATAAATTAATAAAATAAAATTGAAATTATTTATTTATAATATTTATTTATTTGTTTGTTTTAAATAAATAATAGAAACATATGAATTAGTGTATTACAAAACCGAAAACCTTCAAAACCCAATTCTTGTCAAAAATCAAATTCGAAAAGACATCAATTCACCAACCATACCGCCTAATTTATGGTGGTCTTTAACAATCTCAAATGGTATAATTCCAAATAAAAGCAAAAGTAAAAACAACGATGACAACGACTCTGAAATCGTTGACATATTAATCGCAGTATCATGTTTCGAAAGTAAAGAAATGATGTCCTCACCACTATTGTCATCGCTACAAACATTATCTTCATCTAAATCACAGATAAAGGTGCATAAATCTTCGTCACCAACACCATCTTTTTCACCCGAATCAGTAAATGACGTAAATAAATTGGAAAATGGTGATTTTGGAATCGTGATTGAACCAAAAACTTGGGTATATTCAACTACTCAAGACAAAAGAATCATTACTGATATCGATACTATTGGTGGAGTGGTAAGATTTTTAGATAATAGTGTTACACAATACACAGTTCACTCTGACGAGGATGAAGATTCCAATTACAAGTTGGAGTTGGTATTAGTGAACTCTTTGGGAATTTGTAAATCTAATATTTATCCAAAATCAAATTATGTAATTCCGAAATCAATCTTTAATTTCTACGGCGACACCTATGAAGAATCAGTAAAAGAATTCCTATTTCCACCAGCTACCTATCTTAAAATCAAAAATTTATTTCAGGGTAATCCATGCACAAGACATTTGGAAAGTTGCATCGAAAAAAATTATTTTTTTTCGGAGGATTTTAGAGCTGAAAAAATTGATATTTATAATTTGAAAACTGGTGATCTGGAGCTTTCTTTATTTAAAAATGCTACCTCATCATCATTAGCATCCCTGCCATCAATGACGATGATACCCAATTATTTAACCGGGAATGAATCAAATTTTGCCATTTCCAAATATGAAAGTATGGTCGCATATTGTGGTAGTACAAACATCATTACTTTATATTTGATGGAAAATGGCCTAGAAATCATAACAAAACACTTTCCTCAAATTTCTAGAATATTGTCTTTAACTTTTATCAATGAAGACACGAAATTATTTATTGTGGCTCAAGAAGATTTTTGTGGAGATGATTATTTAGAAAAATCAAAAACCATTACTTCAATTATAATTTGGGATATTTTTAATTCTAATAATAGTGGTAACTTGTGTCAAAAACTTGATATTACTTCAGATCCTAACTTTTTAATCTATGCTGATGATAAAAACTTTTTCACATCAAGTTCTGGTAAAATTTATTCCATAAATGCGAATGGCAAAGCGTTCTCCTTATTAGACCATCCTGATATTTCTGGTATCTTGAACGGCGGTGGTGATGATGATGATGATGATGATAATGTTTCTTCTAATATGTTAAAACTTCAACTCGAGGAGAATGAATCAAAAGATTATCACGAAATTTACAAGTTGGATGGTAGTTTGATCGGTTTAAAAGATTGTCAAGACAAGTTGATTGTCAATAATGTTGAACCCTGGATAAATTATAAAAAATACCATAGGATTTCGGTGTTTTTAAATGATGACAAAACAACTCAACTCATTATTGGATCGACCACAGTTCAGATCTGGCAAAAAAAGATTACAAAGGAAAACCATACCGTGAAAAGAATTCTTAAATATATCTGGTCAAATCCTTCACATAAAGAGTTCGTTGTAGAATCAATCGTAGTTGGAAAAAACAAGTTCCATTTGAAATTATTAGAATATTCACACTTCTCATCAGATAATTCTGATCCAATTGATATTCATATCCATTATCCAAAAAGCGTTAATACAATAAAAGATGCGTGTGGAACACTTGAATATCTCTCTAATCGTAAGATTGAATGTATTGGTCCAAAAAATAATCGAAAATTTGAGTATTTATTATATCATACTGAGAAATTAGTCTTTAGAAGTTTTGTAAAGTCTCCAAGTCTCTGGAGATTAAACGATGTTCGTTATGATATTATGGCAAATTTGATCAGAAGTAATAGCACCTCACTGATTAAAAAAATCTTGTTTAAAGACAATGGTGAGATATTGGGAGACAAAAAGAAGCAAAAAGCCTTAGAAAATAATGATCAACATTTACATATTCCACGTTTATACGGGTGGCCAAAGGTAAAAAAATTAACTGATTTAGAAGTTGCAATCGAATGCGCATGCACTAAAGGTACAATCGTTATACTATAACAATTAATCACATACACACACACACACACACATATATATAAAATAAAATTGTTTATTTAATTTCTCATCTAATTAAATTATTCAGGAAAGAATCATAGACATACAATTATAATAGAATTTTTACTGGAATATTATTCTAATCATGCATTGGTAAATGTAGGGTGGATGTTTACAGTAAGTCAAGCGATTCCATTATTATTATCTAAAAAAAATCTAGGTATGTGTTTATTTATTTAAAAACAAAAAGAATTTAGTGAAATGTTGGTTTTGAAGGTTTTCATTTTTTCTTATTATCTCTTCCCTTTCTAATAAATAAATTTTTTTTGTTTCACTCTCCCTATTCGTAATAGAAATGTACTTAAAAGAATTATTTTATAAACCATGTTTTGGAACAAAAGAAGTTTTGATTTACCAATGCTTTGTTGATTCACATGAATTGAGGAAAAGTGAACGTGAAGGTATTTATCCTTTAAGTGCAAGACCAAGACTAATACAAAAACTTCCTACAAATCCTTCCTTAATGAAAAGAATCAGTGATTTTTCATTTAAAAGGTAATAATAAATTTAATAACTGTGAAGATCATTTCTTATTTATAGCATTATATTTAATTGCATATTTATTTTTGGAAAACAAATAATCAGAAATTATGAAATAAAGAACTATATGGAAGATGACAATGAATTGGGTCAATTGACAAGTGTTTTTGTAGTCCCGTTACCAGATTTTCTTCTATACCCAAATGGTATAAAAGATAAAAAACTAAAGTCAAACAAATTGCTATTAAAATTATTAAGACTAATAATTTGGCCGCGTCAGTATATTATTTCGAAGGAGGAAGATCGTAGTGCATTTTTGCGAGTAATTAGACATAAAAGAAATGAATTGATTTATGATAATCCATCATTGGAAGCATGTATTAAATACAAATATCCTTCGGCAAAATTGTTTTATGCTAGACAATTAATGCTTTACATAGCTTTTTCGGTTGCAATAGGACTTCATCTTAGTGTGAACACCTTCTCTAATAATGGATTTCCAATTCCTGATGATGCAACAGAATATGCAAAAAGTTATCACAACCCAATAAAAAGCACCTGCATGTTTCTGATAGTGGTTTATTTGAGTTATTATTTGTTAGCTATGGAGTTCATACAATTCAAACAAGAGAAACTTCGCAAATATGTGAATTTCCATAATATTACAGATCTTTTAGCAGTAATATTTCCATTCGCTGTTTCAATGGCACATTATGCCTTTACTATATTTTCATATCTGGAATCAATAAAGTTTATAAATCGAGGAAATTCTAATTCAAATGATCTAAAAAATTTTCTAGAAGCAAAATTTGATTTAATTCGAGTAAACAAATATATTGTAATTGGCGATTCTTTTGTTGTGTTGATTTTATGGCTGCAATCTGTAAGTAATTTATGAGATGATGATAATGACAATTTTGGTATTAATGATAATGTTGTTGTTACTATTATTAATTTTTAGTCTTTTTCTTTCGTTTCTCTAATCTTATTTATAGCTACTATTGTTACGGGTTTTTTCACGTCCTGCATATTTCATCCGCCTTATCATTGATATAATAAAAAGCATTTGGCCATTTTTAACTTTTATGGTTATTGTTGTTTTGGGATTTGGTCACGCAATGTAAGTATAACAAAAAAGTATTCTAATTTCTTATTCATTTAGCAAACAAATACTAATTTTTGTTTTTTTCAATATCTTCAAAATTAAAAAAGGTACATATTATTAAATGATCCAGCTAGTATTGGAATATACCCAGCTACCACAACATATGTAGTAGATAACACATCAACCTTTCCCAATCCTTACAATGACATAATAATTCAACCAGATTTTGATCCAAAAAGTGTATCGGATAATTCTTTTGTTGATTTTAGGAAATCGGTTGAATCTGTTTATTTTTGGCCGTTGGGTAGATGGGATCAAGTTGATCAATGGGATTTTTGGCCAGTTGAGCTGTTGAGCATATGTAAGCAGATAATAAATATGCAGTTTTTTATTAAATTTTTTATTTATTAATTTATTTTCCTTTTCAGTGGCAAGTATATTACTTGTGACTATAATGCAAAATTTATTGATAGCATTTATGGCGTAAGTACACAAATTTCAAATCCAATTTCAAATTAATTATGAAACGTTGTTATTTTAATCATTATTGATTCTAAAATATTAATAATAACAATGTCTTCATATTTCATATTTTTGGCGCTACTATCCCATCTATCATTCTCTTATTCCACCACCTTATCATTATTAGTGGCATATTTGAAGAAGCAAGTCATAGTGTGAAACAAAAAACCTTGAAAATTCAAGCAGATCTACTGGCAGATCATGAAATATTGGAGAAGCCATATGGTAATTCTAAAGGAAATCCACGATTTATTTATTATGTTGGAAAAGTTAATGAATTGGAGAATTGGTTAATGAAAACTCAAAAGTTTCTCAACAATCGATTCAAACCATGGGCGGTCAAGTCTGGAGAGGATACTTCTTTGAGCTTGTATGACTTTGAGTACGAGGAGTTTATTGATGGTGATGATGATGATGATGATGATGATGATGAAAACAATGGTGATGATTTTGATAACAACAACTATAATAATAAACGTGATAAAAATAAAGATAATGGTGATATATATGAAAAGAATAAGAAGGGTATATATGAAGATGATGATAAAATATTTGATGTTGATGATAATGATGAAACTATGAGGTTTATAGTAAAGACTTATAAAATCATTGATGGTGACCATGAAAAATATGTTAAAGACAACAACAGAAAGGACGAGAAATCTAAGGACAAAAATAAAAATGATGGTATTAGTGATGGTAGTAACAATAATAATAATACGAATATGGATAGTTCATCGACATCCTTGAATATAGAAAAAAGTTTAAGTAAACTACAAAATGAAATGAAAAATTTGGATTCTAATGTTACAAATAGAATTGACACGATTGAAAACAATATTAAAGAAATTTTAAAATTAATTAAATCTCAACAAGCATAAGCAAGAGGCATTTTTGTATGTAATTTATCTATTTATCAGGATTATGTAATATGCAATTATTTCTGTATTTATATTTATCATTTATTAAATGTAAATGTACTGTATATATAAAAAAAATTTTTTTTTACTAATTTATAATCTTCAAGCTCTTTGATCAATTGGACTTTATAATTTTTTTGGATTTCATTTTTAATTGGATAATATTCATATCGGACCAACTGGATAATAACTACCAACTAGTTTACCTGTTTCTTTAATTTTTTACAAATACTCTTCCCACTACTTAAATCATAGTAATATCCTGCATTAACATCATTATCAGAAAATATTACGTAATTGGGTAAAATAGAAATTGGAGGACAGGCTTTGTTAGATGTATTTACCTGGATTTCTGGTGAAACCTTTTCAGGAAATGCACTTTACCTCAGTTTCTGGTAATTTTTCTGAATCGTTTGAGATAAATGGTTCAATCATGTGTGCATTCTTTTTTGGAAAACGATTTATAAATATTTTGAATTTGAATATCTTTTAGACTTGAAATAGCCCGATTCTATCTATCACAATTCCTTCAAACAATATATAGATTTTTTTAGCTCTAAAAGTTATTTTACACAAGTTTACATCAGTAATGTCGGGTAGAAGTGATTTGATTTCATTATATACCGATGTCCTTGCAGATCTGTCGTCAATTTTTTCTAGACCTAATATTCCCAATTCTATCCTCATACATTTTATAATAACAATACCAGTATAAAATCTCCTTTTGTCTAACCTTCATTGCTATATTATATATTTTGTGCCGTAACTCTACTAGACTCTGTTAGAATTATTTCTAAAGATAATCCAGGAATTTGAGTATTAAATGGTTTATCGGATGAAAATCCATGTATTGCATTATTTTCGATATCATTGTCTTCGGCACAAACAGATAATTCATGTGTTAAGCCTTGTTCTACTTTTTGATTATATGGAATTTTTAGCACCGTTGTACTAGCTCCCATTATTTCAGAAGAAATGATACCTTGTGTCTGATTAATAGGTGCTTCTGAAATATTCTGATCAATAGGCATTTGCTCTGATTCAATGGAAGGAGTATCCTGAGAAGATAGGAGTGCCTCTTGAGTTCGAGAAGTGGGATCTTCCTTACTTCGCAACAGTTTCTTTTCCCTGTTTATATCTCTCATCATATTACTAACTTTTTCTTTTACTTTTTGATCCAGAAAATCATTGATCTCCTTATCTTCAGAATTTGGCGCATTATCAAAAGATGTATTGACTATCTGTTCAGAGATATTTGAATTAACTTCGGGAGAAATGTAATTTTGTACTACCTGTATCTGATCTAGATTTACGGGATCAGTGCTATCACCTTCATTAGAATGGCCATTAGTTGGCAATGGAATAGGCATTTGTGGAGAAACTGAAGAGTGCGAAGGATCATTAGTAGTTCGATTTTGCTTTATGATTTGTTTTAGTCTTGTATTTTCGATCCTAAGATTAGCATTTTCTTCTATGATTTGTTTTAATCTATATATATAGTATTTTCGGGTCTGATTCATTTCGTCGACAATCATTCGTCTACAGTCATTTCGTCGACACACATTTCGTCGAAAGTTCATTTTCGTCGAATGTTCATTTCGTCGAAAATTATTTTGTCACAAAAAAAAACTTCATTAAACAAATTTCTCCTCACACTTCCCACACACTCCGCTTTCCTCGCCTAATTTCTTAACTAACTTCCCACACTCCTCAAATCTAACTCGTTCGGTCTCTGGCTCGAAAATGAAATGAACATTCGACGAAAACGAACATTCGACAAAATGAACTTTCGATGAAACAAACTTTCGGTGAAATGGGTGTTGACGAAATGATTGTCGACGAAGTAAACGCGACCATTGGAAAATTATTTCATTCTTATACCAATCTTGATTGTCATCATATTGTGGGTTGTCGAAGGAAATTTCCAATCTACCTGATCATTGTAATTGTATGCTTCGCTCTGTACAATTTAAAACGGAAAATGATATCGCTCTTAATTCACTGAAGGATGTGCAAGAACTTCTATCCGAAGATGTTAATCGAAAATTTGATGATTCATCCAAAAAGATTCAATTGCTATACAAAGAGATGCAAGAAAAATGAATCGAGGGAGATGGTTCAAGTATTTTATCAAATATTTCTCAAGGTAGGCGTTGCATTCATCATTTTTTCGGTGTAGCTGGTACAAGCGCCACGCCTTCCATATCAATGATCCAGATGTTAACCGTTTTGCATTTATCTGTTCCAGCTTCGATCAGTTCGTCGTCTTCAAATACTGCTCTTGTGCAAAAATTCAAGAACCTTTTCGATAAAACTATGCAAGAAAATGATCATACTAAATCAGATATGATTAATGAAACAAAAATAAAAGTTATCGGAGCCAGAAGCTATTGAAGATTTTTATAATGAAACAACAAAACCCGATCACAGAACCACAGGCACGATAAAGACTTGGATTGCACTTAAAACTGAAGAAAAAAATAAACTTATAAGTAATAGTAACTATGAAGATAATACATATGTAAACTCAATAAGTCAGTCATGTGAGCTCATATGACTGACTTATTGAGTAAACTGACTTATCAAGTGACCGACTTATCGAGTTTACATATGTAATGCCAACGAGATATTTGATTATAATAATAGTAATAAATAGTTTTTAACCTGGTAGAGCCAAAGTATAGGGATGTAGGGGTCGTATGTTCCCTCCCTTGCAACTCTGCCATCTTTCATGAAAAATTAAAGAACTGGCAATTTAAATGATTGTGTTAAAAAAACTGATGATTTAAAGAACTGGTGATTTATATAATTATGTTAAAAAACTGATGATGGAAATTGAAATATGTAATATGTTTTTCTTTAAAAAATGTTGGATGTTAATGTAAATCAAGTCATTGTTTTTAAAAAAACAGCCTTTTCAAATTGAATGATTTGTTGACTTTGATAATTCACAAAAAAATATATAAATATACTTTGAATTTGATTACTTCAAAGAGTTATTCTCAAATCAAACAAATATATAAGAAAAAATAAAAAAAATTATCTATGAAAAAATTATCTAAAAAAAATTATCTACGAGAAAAAAAAGTAGTTACACAGAAAAACTTTTTTGAATTCAAACCTTATCTTTTATTATTATATTATTATTATTAAACAATACTACTCAGAAACTTCAATTTTTTAATTTAAAATGAACAAATTTGCTGCTTCATCAAAAAATTTCAAGATTCTATCTGTGAAGAAGGTATGCATCATATATGCATAATCTTTTGCTTTTTTCAATTGCTCAAACTTATACATTCAATTAAATAACTATAGATTCTGGCACATCCTGCACTCACTGCAACTCAAATCAAGATAATGGTAATCTTCAAAATTTTCTTTTAATTATTATTTGACTAAATCTTATTGTATTATATATTTTTTTTTTAGGTGAAAATTATCCACATTAGCCCTGTGGGAACACTATTTATAAATATAAAGAAAAACCAAGAGATTGGCCTTAGAGTGGTTGGGCTTTAGATAGTGTCGTATCAAAAAAACAGACCACATATAATGTTCAAATTAATGTTAAAAAATGTTACAGTACAATTCAATGTGAACAATGTAATGCTCAAACTAGACCAAAAACCAAAAAACATGGGAAAAGAGCAGAAGAGCAACTTGATAAAGGTTGCCCAGTACCTACATGTGATTGTATATATATCAATTATTAATTAAATATAGATATTAAATATAACTTAAATAATAATGTATTTTGTATTTTTAGGTTCTTTACAATGGATCCAGTGTATTGTGAGTTGTAAATTCATCACATTAGAAGAACCTGATGAAAACTGCTTTAGTTATTATTTATTACACTATGGGCATCACACTCATCAAAAATGTTTGCAAAATATGCCATTTAACCAAGAAAAAGATCAATTAAAAAAACGCATCTCTGCAGCACCTGAAACCTTGCCCAAAAAAATGCAAGTGGGACAATCCTTGGATAATAACAACCCACTTGCTTCAGTTAGAAAAATATCTGAAGCATTTTCAAACACTGATAGAATTGCTTATTATCATTGACAAATAATCAATGAAGAAAACATCATTACCAAAGCAGCTCACTGACATTGAGACAATTTCATCTTGGACATTTTACAATTTCAACAAGACCATACAAATTTTATTAGAAAGGTTGATTTTACCAACAAAGGTGCAATTATGTTACAGTCAGATTGGATGCAACAACAAGGCTTTCCAATGAATAACTTTCAAGGCATTATTACAGATAGTACTTGCAAATATTTTTCAAATGCTTTCTCATTATCCAGGTGTGTAAAATTTTTTGAATTGAAAAATTTTAATAAAACCGACTTTATTATTCATTACTCATTTATTTTAATTTGAATAATAGTTCTTTATATTGCCCTCTTCTTGAAAGATGGATACTAATTCTGATAACAGTAATTTTAAAGGAAGATAAAGTCCACTATAAAGAGCACTTTAAATACTTATTTCAGTGGATTGATGAACATTGTGAAAGTGAAACCAAAAATTGTGACGATTTTTATGCACAGGTTATAGATTTTAGTATAGCTGAAAAAGAGGGATTCATTGAGCATAAATTGGAAAAAATCAAGTTATCTTCATATTCTAAAGTTCTCTTAGATTCACATAAAACTGTATTGGAAAAAGAAGCATTGACCTTCTTAAAAGGATGTCAGGAGCATTACAAACAATCTGTAACAAGAATTGCACAAAATAATGCAATTGTAAAACATGAAGATTCAACAAAATTTCATTCAATGACATTAAAGCTCTTAAAAATCAATATTGAAAATTTTTTTGAACAAGTTGAAGAGATACAAGAAAATTGGCCAAATTACATTACCTGGCTGGAATTGTGGGTATATACCGATGCAGGTAAAATCCTTTTCCCTGCATTAAGTACTATGGATGAAGGTTTATACAAAAAATTACCAGGTTCAACTAATGCCCAAGAATCAATGCATTCTCAATACTATATGTGTGGAGCTACAAATCAATCCATTATAACAGGTATTTAATAAACAACTTAATTAATTAATTGATATTCCAAATAAATATTAATCTTAAATTTATTTCAATTAGGTCTTGAAAATCTCTTGTTGTTTGTGATGTCCTTGGAGGTAGATTATGAGAATAAAAGTAAAGGTCATTCTTTGAAGTATGGTGAAGAAGAATGATGGAAAAAAGTTGCTGAATTATATGGCACCACCAAACCATCCAGGGGAAAAAGTTCCAAAGGTGCTGGTGTAAATGATCATAGACCACCAGATACTACTGAGGTTCTTTTGAAAAACCAGTCTTCTAAGAACATTGATAAAGATAATGGAGATTTAAATGTTTCTGATAAAAAAGAATAGTAACAGAAAGCAATTGAACTTCCAAAAAAGTATCAATCCTATCCACATTGGAGAAATTCATGTTATATTACCTCATTCTTAGAAATATTATATACAAATTATCTTCATACAACTATGTGGTGGACAACAAATGTTGGATTAATTCCAAGTAACTCTGGACTAAAAAAATTATATACAAGTTTTACCATTCGAGACACTGTCAATACTCCAGGAACTAAAAATGTAAAATCTACTTTTAATGAAGCTCGTGAAATTGTCTGTCACCATGTTCTAGAAAAAAAAATGGCAAGAAGATAACTAATTTGGATCATTAACTCATTGGTTTGAAAATATTATTTTAGAAGAAAAAGAATCAACAAAGCTTATGTCACAATTT